TGGATGGAGTATACAGAAGGTAAGGTGGAATGTGTCCTACGCTTTGTTACAAGGAAGGAAGGAAAAGGACAAGAAAGGATATGTGGATATCCACAGTGATGAGTTGTGCTACAAGTAAGAAATACACTGTACAAGAGCAAGCTAGATGGAGGTGGAAACAAGAGACTCTCTAGTGGAAAACACTTAAGTTGAAGATGCATTCCTTTTTTGGGGGTAAGATGCAAGATTCCGGCATTGGAGGTAGAGATTTACAATATTACCTACTCAAATGGTGTGAATTCTGTCTCAAATTTGGGCCAGTCAACGTGGCAAGGTTGGCGGAGGGAGATCACAGTACGAGTACACTTTGAGGACAATATCTACGTGAATTTACTCTAGACAACTCAGGTGTTACCTAAATCCACTGACTGAGATCGCCATTTCAACATTTTCATCAGTCACGAGAAAACATCATCCTTAAAGCTTTACAAAAGTGGCAGTAAACAAAATCATTAATGCTTTAAAGTGGCATATTGCCCTAGAAAGTCACCAGAACACAAGCCTCATTGATAAGCAGTTCTAAAAAGTTGGAAGGTTACAACATTATATCTCACAGTAAACAACTCCTAAGAAGAAAAAATTTTAAATCATGGCGGGAAAGAAAAAAAGAAACACACAGAGCAAGGGAAAAGTTAAGCATCAAAGTTCTGGTGTTTAGATTTTATTGCTCATCAGGAGTAATTATTTTGGTACAAAGAGTTTTGGTACACAGATTCCACTTCTTTAGATTTCACCAGTGGTAAAAAAGGAAAGATAAAAGTAAAATGATAGAGAATTAAGGGTGACATCATGGATGGACATTGAGGGTATAATGCAAAGTGAAATAAGTCAGAGGGAGAAGGTCAAATACCGCATGATTTCCTTCATTAAGTAGTAGATAATAACAACAATAAACAAACACATAGGGACTTAGATTGGATTGGTGGTTACCAGTGGGGAAGGGGGGAGGGAGGAGGGTGAAAGGGATAATTCGGTACATGTGTGTGGTGATGGGTTGTAATTAGTATTTTGGTGGTGAACATGATGTAATCTATGCAGAAATAGAAGTACAATGATGTACACCTGAAATTTTTACAATGTTATAAACCAATGTTACTGCAATAAACAAAAAATTAAAAAAAATAAAAATAAAAAAATAAATAAAAAAAAAAAGTAAAATGATAGAGAATTAAGGGTGACTGGGTATGTTTATTTGAATTTTCATAGACGGGTTCTTCGAAAAGAGATAAAATATGCTATCTAAAATTAAAACAATCTAAAGCAGAAAATTGTTACCTAGATAAATGGGCCTTAAAAAGAACAAGGTAAAGATTCTGTTAGGTCAAACTTATGCACAAAATTTTTCTTCTGAAACTGCTGCTGAATTTTAGGATTAATAACCAGTTTTGTGATAATCATAAGAAAAAATGTATAAAAATTATGTTGAACACAGCATAGTTTAAATCACTAAGACAAGTGAAATTTCCTGACCTCTAGTCAAATGTATCTCCTTAGTCATAAGCCCCTCAGAGAAACAGTTAATGGATTAATTTTTTCACTCACTTGGCCCTTTCTTCTAAACGCCAATTGAATACCAGATTTTTTTCCTTGCCTTGGCCTACTGAAGTGACACTTAATCAAATAATTAATGAAAGCAGCCTTGTGACTCACCAAGTCTAATCACATAGACTGTTTATGTCTGGGACAATAATTCACTCAGCAAGTAAAATGTACACAGATTATATTAAATGTGTCATATTTCAACTTTAAAGCTTCTTGTGGACAATAATCTTATGAAGAACAGGAAAAACAAAAGAGTACTTAATATTCTACATCAAATTACAAGTGTGGCAGACAGTACTGGTTGCCCACCCTCTAGCTATTCCCTCCCTTCATCCTTGCTAACAGAACTGTGATTGTTCAGACACGGGCAGCACTTGTGTTGTGTGGTCCTCTCCGGAATTCCAGAGATGCATGTGCTGATTAATCTGAGCAGTCCTCAAGATGTGGGCTTGGACCAGCAGCATCAGGATCACCTGGGAACGTGGCAGAAAGGATATTCTTGGACATTACTCCCGGCTACTGAATCAGAAACTCTGGGGGTAGGGACCAGCAATCTGTGTTTTATCAAACTCTCCAGATGATGCTGGATGCGAGCTCAAGTTTGAGAGCCTCTGGTCTAAATCAATCGTGGGATTTCTGTTCCCTCTGCCAACTACTGAATTAGGCTGGGTAACTGTCATGAGCTTGACAAGAAGTCTCCTGCGAAGCTTCTAGAATGTTTTACTTGCTTACATACAGAGAGGAAATACACCCATCCTGCCTATTTTTGATTTAGATATGGTCATGTCTTCATGTGATACCTGGAACTGCAGCAGCAATCTTGTGACCATTAGGTGATAAACCCAAAGACCATGCCACTGAGCCAAGGATGACGGCAGGGAAAGACTAAAAGAGCCTTGGTCCCTGTGACCTTGATGAGACACTGAATTAACCCTAGAAATACCCCATCTCCAGTTTTCTTGTTAAATAATATATTTTTTAAAACCCTGTATGTGTAAACTATTTCTAGTTGCCTTCTGTTAACTTGCAATCCTTACTGTAACATCTTTGTTTCTTTTTTCGAGGAAAGCCCCAAAATAGTATAAATAACATAATCTCACTTTCATAATATTACATAATTTTATACATATCATATATTAAAATATTATAGAATATAATAAAGTATTATAACAAAGCATTTTGAAAAGCAAGAATTTATACCTTTATTAATTGAAAATACAGAGAATATTTAAAATGACATTATTGAAATTATATTCTGGTTTTGGTTCTACTAATTAGCTTGTAGGAACAAATTACTGAACAGATTTAGGCCTCAATTTTCTAACCAATAAAAGGAAAGAGTCAGATTAAATCACTGATACGATCCTGTGCAATCTAAAGAATTATTCTCTTAAATTAATCTTTATGGGGCCCTGAAAGGCCTCTGTGACAAAAGTTGATTTTTAATGAGTTCTATTAATAAGGATTTTTACGTGATGACAAGACATTAACTGTTATGCAACTGACTACTGACAAATACTCCCAGAAAAGGGCGACCCATCAGTGCTGCCTGGCTGAAAGGCTGAAAGCCCAGTGCTCGGTGTCAGCTCCTGCCAACTCCCAACTATTTACACCACAAGGACGGTATTCAGTGGGTAAACACTCTCAGTCCAAGGCCTCAAATTCACTTGCTGATTTAACTTCCTCCCCATGCAAAAGTCAAAAAGTACAAGATGCAAAACAACTGACCAGTATTTCCCCCGTCCACTGGAATTCCAGTTAAATTCGTGTATGACAAAGAGGGAAAAGTGGGCTAAGAGGAGCCAGAAGATCGATAAAACTGCAAAGATGATTTAGAAAACCATCAGCCCCAGAGAATTATAAGTGATTTATAATTATTTTTGGAAAGGAAAAGATGTCTTCATACTCTCACTGCAACTAATATTAAAGGTACACAAAAACCTATATCTGAGGAATTAACAAGTACAGGGTATTTTTAATGTAATACATTTCAAGGCCTCTTTACTGAAAGCATTACATGTCAAAAAGCTTTATAAGGAAAAAAAAGATAGCCACGACTTCCTCTAATCAGAGGGTATCTCCCAGCATGAAAATGCTACTGCATTATGACTAACACAAGGGCTGCCAAATACCGAACAACACGCGTGCCAACACAACCATAAAACATTGACAACTAAATGTCAAAACAATAGAAAGTTTTTTTCTGTAAATGAACCAGAAATACCAATAAGGGTAAAACCCTTTTATAATAAACTTGTAATACAACCACACTCATTCATTATTACTTAACTTCATTTTCACTAAAACCATATGCCCCAGCTGCAGAACTCAGATGCACAACGGACATGTAGTGAATTGACTTTTTTATGTCAGGCTCCTCTTCTAAAAAGGATCTGAGGCTGAGATGGGGTAAACAGGCAGGGCAAACTAAACTGGATGGATGGGGAAGAAGTGGCATGCTCACACAGCATTTTCACACCCGTTCACCTGCTTAGCTTCTAGACTTCGTGATATGCTTTATTTTAGAGGTCAGTTTAAAGATTAGTTTAATTGAGATTACTGGTTTAAGACGGTGTAGGACAAAAAATCTAGAATAGCTGCTATTTGATGACAGAACGAAAGAAGCATGAAGAGGTCACCCACAGCTCAACAGTGCAGGTGTTCCATCTGCCTACGATGAAGACAGCACAGAATCACGTTCTTCAGCTATTGAGTAACAGGCAGAGGAAGGAAAACAGCAATTCCGTGTTTAGCAATTTATCCTAAGGAAAACGTTAGGAAAGCACACAGAGATTTAGCTTACGGATATTCACTGCAGGACTGTATATAAGAATAGAGGACTGGTCAGACAAATTATGTGATAGCTGTCCAGTGGAACACTATGAGGAGAATTTAAAACAATGATGCATTTAAATATTTAACGACACATAAAGATGTTTGCTACTCACTGATAAGTGCAAAAGCAGCCAGCTAAGCAATGTGAACCATATGATCCCATTTTTGTTTTAAAAAATCAGAATATAGTTAGAAACAAGTATAACTATGTTACACCTATGCATAGACAAAATTCTGGAAGAATATAAATCCAATTGTGGCAAGATCATGGGTGCTTTTAAATTTCCTGTTTTCAGTTAGCGATAGTCTCTAACTTTGCTTTTCTATGATAAGAGCATATATTGGTTTTATAACAAGAAAAAAATCTACCAAAATATGTAATGGGCAGATACAGAAAGTCCTTGATATTTAGGGATATTCACTGTACAGCATTTACTGTAAAAGGAAAAGAAACGTTTGCTTTAATAGGTCATTTGAGAATGTGAAATTGATCCTTGTTGTTTGGAACCACTGTTTACAGTAGTACTAAAAAAAAATCACAAGTACTGAGACTACTGACAGGGGACAACCAGAGGCATACTTACGGTTGAGTGAAGTCACGAGTGATGAAATCAGAACTCTTGAACAGCAGAAAGATGTCGCTGAGGGTTTTACATTTCAGAGAACTATTCATTGCTATCCAGTAGGCATCCTAAATAATGAAGCACATGCTACTTAGTGTATATTCCACGTTAGCCACTATGAATGAAGCTCAGGCCTACGTATAAAATCAATAATGCATATCACTTCAAGGGTTTAAAGAAAAAAGTCAGGTAAGAAACGTTAGCTCTACTGTCAAGGGTCAAAGTACACTTCTAAACAATGAACAGCATCACTGCTGCATGTCAGACACCCAGTGATGAACACTGAGATGTTAGGGTCCTCACCTTTCAGCTCAGGCCCAAGCACTTCCCTACGTTTTTCTTACTGATGAGGAAGTAAGGGGAGAAAAAGCTATCAGAAATGCTGACACTTCAGCTAGAAGATCAAGGTGTAAAGAAACAGCCTGAACAACTGTCTAAGAAAAAGGAGATCCTTCCCTTCTTCCTGCTTCTGGGGAGTGATGGCCGGAAGGCCTGAAGTTTGATGATTAGAGCAGTTAAGACCCATGTCTATCAAATCTAGGAGAGAGGAGGTGAGATATTCTGAACCATCACAATTTTAAATGGTGAATGTCTCATACATTTGAGCCAAACAAAAAGTACAAATAGCAGGCACAGTAGACGAAGCTTAGTGGAACATACCTAAAAATGATAGAATTAAGTCATTTAAAAAACACATTTCTTCCATAGACAGATCAGACACAGGACAGTAACATAAATTTGAGAAAACTAATGACTGTAAAAAACTATCAAATTATTATCCATACTACATGCAAGAAAGCACTGGAACATAGCAGGCACTCAATTAATAACAAATAAATGAACAAATGAATACCTTAAAACCGCAAATAATCTACCCACCTGAAGTGGAAAGCCTCAACCCAGTCCAGTAGTAAAGAACAATTCAAATTACTGCTCATATATAAACTAAAAGTGAGTTTCAATAGCTCCTTTATAGTGTCGCCCAATGACAAAGATGACGAAAACTTCTGGCTAAAGATGGTATACTGAACACACAGATTTAACTCCACTGAAACAACAGTATCTATAGAAAACCATGCAACTGAATAAACAAGACAATTATTAACTCCAAGGAAAACAAAATGTTGAATAAGAAAACGTAAGTAATCATACTATAGCATATATCAGAAGTTTACCTAGTGTTTACATAATCACAATACTGGAAACACTGAATTAATCAAAAGTATGATATCACTATAATGAGGACAGGGGAATAGAAAGCAGGGGAGACAGGAGATGAAAGAGAGCTGAATCTTGCTGTTCTAGAGTAGAAAGTCAATAATAAATACCTAAATCTGAAGAACAAAGAAGCAGAGGAAAAGAACAAAAGAATGTACTAAAATATCTGACAGCAGCTGCCTCTGAGGAGTGGGAAATGGTGGACAGAAACAGGTGTTAGGACCTGCTGATTTTTGTAGCAAGCTTCCAGGTCTTTTGAAAATTTAAACTATGTCATGTATATACGTAAAAATAAAAATTAGATTTAAGTGCAATTTATCATTCATTTTAAAGTAAGAAAAGATAAGCACATGAGATGGTTTTTCAAAATGCAAATAAGTCTTTGATTCCCTAAATAAGCTTTGTTGACATAAAGTTCTCTTCTATTGGATTAGAAAAAATAGTGAATTTTTCCATAGATCTTAACTTTTAAAAAAATCTTGTCAATGCAATGTTAAAATAATAAATTTAAGAAAATATCAGGGCCGGCCCTGTGGCTTAGCGGTTAAGTGCGTGCGCTCAACTGCTGGTGGCCCGGGTTCGGATCCTGAGCACGCACCGACGCACCGCTTCTCCGGCCATGCTGAGGCCGCGTTCCACATACAGCAACTGGAAGGATGTGCAGCTATGACATACAACTATCTACTGGGGCTTTGGAGGGAAAAAATAAATAAATAAAATCTTTAAAAAAAAAAAAAAAGAAAATAGTTGATTTCTCAAACTGCTCTATTTCTAGATCCTGTGACATTTTAATTTTTATTACTTTTCAATAGAGAAAAATTTCTCTGTTGAACTGAAGAGCTAAAATTTTGAAAAGGGCAGAGAATGGATTTCCTCAGATTTATAGAACAATCAGCAACACAAGAGGTTGAAACTGTCTTCTGGCAAAATATCTAGTATTGCACAGATCCAGGAAAGTGCACTGCAAAATCAGAAAAATAACATGGGGGAAATAATAATAAAATCCAGAGTATTTTCTCTAGAATTAGGACTATAATTAGACCCTCTGTGGGGATATAAAATGAAATAAATAGGAAAACAAAGAATATTCAAACAAGAGATTTACTGATGTGCTCCTACCCGTGGGGCACTCCAGTTAAGCTTAGGAAACACACTGCCACCCAGGGAATTGATAGCTTCTTGGACTTTGGTAGTGAACTCGGGAAATTCTGGTGCCTACAGAAAGAAAGAAGAAATCATTTGGGCAAGTCAGTATCATCACAATAAATATAGAAAACAAGATTAAAATCTCAAGGTTAAACTATTCAGGATGTTAAAATAATTTAGGATACAAATTACTATCAGAATTTCTGAATTCAGCGAAATAAAATCAATGATCAAATAACATTTACCAGAAAGGGAAGAAGATAAGTACCCAAATGGCACTTTCCAAACCAATCAAAGCCCACTAAGCTAAACAGACAGATGTCACCAGGCATCTGGGGATGTGAGGAAGGAAGGAAGGTTCTCTTAACACCTACATAAAACCAGTATTTATTAAGTGAAAAGAGACAGATGGAATATCACCTATACATATACCCCAATTCTCAGAAATAACATCTCACACTAAAGGGGCCAGAAGTCCTTCCATTTGCAGGAAAAGATTCTTGGACATATCCCCAAAAGGCTTCATGAGAATGAGAAATAAATTATGTGGTTAACTGTATTTAAACACTGCTATTTCCAGACAAGTTTTAATATAAACAAAACTCAAAAATAGGACCTTGGTGAAGTTAAAATGTTCTTTCCTTTTTGGTTTACTTTAAAATGCATATTTTATAGAAGCAGGTAACCCAAACATTCTAAGTGTCCTTTCACCAGGAATAGAATCCCGCTGTGAAGGAACGTAAACGTGACTGCTATTATGCTCTGCCTCGGGCCTTACGTCACTGTCAAAGGAGAGCACAGAGAGAGAGTGGAGACGAGGAGAGTGAGGAAGAGAATTGAAGTGGAAAGGGCAGGAGAGACAGAACAACAATATTAACAGATTCTCTCCAGTCACAGTTTTCCTTTATATCTGCTGCCCCCTACTGGACAACTGCAAATTCTGAAACAGTCCAGTAATGACAAGGTCTTCCATAGGGGCTAAAGCGTTCAAATAGGTCTAGAACGAGCTCAACTACACACTGCAAACATAAATCAAATGCCTCATGCTGATCCCCGAGGTCTAACCCAGTTATGACAGAGAAATAGCTGTGACAAGAGTCTAGGAAACACACCAAAAAAAAATATAAGTTTAAAAAACGGTAGTATACTATTTCCCCAACTAGAAACCAGCTTTAAGCAACAGGCTAGTGAGTCAAGAAGGGCGAGATCGAAGCTTTCTTTCTGCTACAGAAGGACATGATCTCTGGACTAGTTACCAGCATCTTCTAGTTATTTGACAGCCTGCACTGTATCTTCTTTACTTCTTCAGCTTAGATACATGAACTCAACCCGCAGCAATTTAGAGAGCCCTTCAACACGACTATCAGCCTTGAGTCCTTATATTCCATTCCCCTCTCCCCATCAAAAGGAACTACAACTTATGTTAAACCAATAATTTCCTTACAATCCCCTGAAGTCACTGATTTGGCTCCCTAGAGCTCTGGCCATAAAAACATGTATCTAAGATCTGCATTAGCAATCTTCGATAAACAGTACAGTTATGCAAATTTTACAGCATGAAGAGATTCAATTTCCAAAGACAAGACTATTTAATTTTCCTGTCCCATAAAACTTCACATGTAAGGACTGCTTTATGTTTGTGTATTACATTTTAAAAGAGGTGATCCATTCCCTCAAATCCTCCAATTATTCAACTTCAGGAAATCCTGCCATAAGGAACCTGAAACAAATTTAAATTATAAAAAGTGGATCCATTGTAGAGAAAAATTTGTGCTTCAGTGGAAAACTATGTATTCTCGGCATGTAGCACACTTTTCTGGTTGTCTGATTCTAGGTAGGTCTGTCAGCTAGTTTACAACTGGTAAACTGGAGGTAAGTGATGACAATGAAAAGTATTTCTTACAGACATGACAATTCTATCCTGTCTGAAGAAATTCAGTTGCCTTCCCTCCCACCTTTGAGGGAGGCAAAACTAGTTTTGCCTCACTTACATATTCATTTCAATATTCCTCATCTATAAATTTGTCTGTTCCTTGGATTCTTTTGAACCAGCTGTTAACATCTGCCTGGTTCCCTCATGAGTTAAATAAAAGCTTCAACATGTGTTAAAGAGTTTTGTATCTGTATGGGAGTCAGGATTCTACCTCTTTCTGAAAATTACCTTTTAAGAGATTTAAGTAATAGGATTCTTTTAAGCTTAGAGCTCAACCAGTCGATTTTAAATATGCATTAACACCTCAGTTGTCTGGGAAAAGGTTCCCCTTGTAAGTGGGACAAAAATCCACATTTTTAATCATATCCATGGACTTCCTGTGATCCAGACTCACTTGTCTTTCCAAATTTACCCACCACAGCACCCCTATACCACACTCACTCAGAAAGGGTACTTCTTTAAAAAAAATTTTTTTTTAATCATGAAATGTTTTAAATATACAAAAAAATATATGCTCATGTTCCTGGATCCATACATTCAACAATTTGGCATATTTGATCCAAACCTTTAAATTTCCTAAGGGGAAAAAACATTACAGATACAAACGAAGCTCCTTACTCCTTGCTCTCCTCCCTAATCCTTCCCTCTCCCCACCGGCAACCATCATGACAAAACTGGGCATATTCTTCTACTGTCATGATTTTATACTTTCGATACCTGTGCCTGTCCAGAAAATATAACATTATAAAAATTTAACATAACTGCTGTCATTTGGTATGTATGCTTTTCGCAACTTGCTCTTCGAAATTCACCATTGTGCTTTTGAGATTTACCCATTTCGATTATTTTTGTCCATTTTTAATTCCGCGTTTTTGTATCTATGCTAATGGACTATTACCATTCACCAATACCTCACATTTTCCCACCTTGGGTCTTAACTCACATCCTCTACCAAGACTGTTCTTCTGCCCGACAACATCTAGTTCTGCCCAGTGAATCCCAATCACTTTTTTAAATTAGCTTTTTACTTTGACATTATGTCAGACTTTCAGAAGCATTAAAAGAGTAACAAGAATTTCCATATACTCCTCACCCAGGCATTTTACCACATTTGCTTTATCATTCTCCCCCAACCCCCTCTCCCTATATATCTATGCAGGTGTGTGTATTTATTTCTATATATACATACATACAAACATGCATTTTTTCCCTACACTCTTTTAAAGTAAGTTGAAGTCATGATGCCCCTTTACCCCTAAACACTCTAGTGTATATATCCTAAAAAGTAGTAACATTCTTTTATACAACCTAGCAAAATTATCAAAATCAGACAGTTAACACTGATACAATACCATTATCTCATCTATAGATCTTATTCAAAATGTGCCCATTGTCCTAATAATGTCTTTTATAACAAAAAAAAACCCAAAAAACCAAACATTCTTTTCTGACCCAGGATCCAGTCTAGAATCACGAACTGCATTTAGCTGTCATGTCTCTTTAATCTCCTTTAATCTGTAACAGTTCCTCTCTCTGTTGTTCTTTACCTTTCATGACCTTGACATTTTTTAAGAGTACAGGTGGTTATTCTATATAAGTTCCAAAATGTTGAGTTTGCTGGATGTTTCCTCATGATCAGACTCAGGTCAGGCATTTTTGGCAGGTGACGTGTCCTTCTCAGTGCATCACATCAGGAGGCACACAATGGAGGTCTGTGCATCACTGGCAAGGTTAACTCTGGTCACGAGGCTGCTGGGTCTTTCCACTGTGAAGTTACTATTTTTCTGTCTATAATTATGTAATAAGTAATTTTGGTAGAGACACTGAGAATATTCAAGTATCCTCGTTCTCATCAAATGTTCACCCACCAGTTTTAATAGCTATTCCATCAATTATTACTATGATGGCTGCCAAATGGTGACTTCTAATTCCATCACTCCTTCTGCATTCATCAGTTGGTGCCTTTTCTACTATAAAGAAGAGCTTTCCCTTCTGCTCCATTTACTGAATTTAATCATTTGTTTATGTCAGTACGGCATCATGAATTCTAATTTTAGTCAATGGTTATACTCCATTACCATCATTGTTTCGTTATGATGCTCAAGTAACTTGGCCAGGAGGAGCCCACTCAAGCTGGCTTCTGGGTCCTTTTTGTCATGTCTGCGTCATTCTTACTTTCTGATACAACAAGCTGTTGCAGGCTATCTTTACTTTCCTACCCCGGTCTTGAATTTCCCCAAGAGTTTCGATTCCTTTTAATGGAGAATGATAATTTAGAAACCAAGATCAGGGCACTAGGTGTGCTCACTGCTCCTATGATGTCATCATGTCATTGCTTCTAGACCTTAGCAAACAGAGTTTGGTAAATATACATGGATACACAAAGGTATATTATTAATTTCTGTATCTATCAACTATCTACCTATCTATCCATCAATCAAAAAACATGAGTTGAAATTGATAATCCTTACCACTTTTAGGGTCCAGGTCAAATATCACTTCTCCCTTTAAGCATTTCTAGATGCCCTAAGTTGTAACTGTTCTCTCTGTTCTGACAGCACTTTGTCATCTACCCCTAAATTGGGGTATCTTTCCCCACTGGTTTATAAACTCCCTAATGGCAGGAATCAAATCATATTCATCTTTGTTTACTTCACAGAACCCACTACAGTGCCCCGAGTATGGTAGATAACTAATACGTATGTTGAACTGAATAGAATTTTCACAAAAGGAGTGATTGACCTGCATGATATCCAGAGTAAAATAAAACAAGTAAACTTCCCCTTTCTGCTGATGTTGGCCTGCTTTTTATACCTAAGGAAATGTATCAGTTTAGGCACCTCCACTTTTTTTTTTCTTGTACCCTGGACACCATATCTCTTCCATTAAAATAAACAGAAGCATCTTCCCATTTAGAGCTGTATTATTATTATTATTTTTTTAATTATTTTTTAAAAATTTTATTCATTTATTTTATTTTTCTCCCCCCGAATCCCCAGTAGATAGTTGTATGTCATAGCTGCACATCCTTCTAGTTGCTGTATGTGGGACACGGCCTCAGCATGGCCAGAGAAGCGGTGCGTCGGTGCGTGCCCGGGATCCGAACCCGGGCCGCCAGCAGCGGAGCGTGCACACTTAACCGCTAAGCCACGGAGCCGGCCCTAGAGCTGTATTAGAGTAAACGCTCCCCTAAAACTCATTTCCTTTATGTGCCTTTACATCTATTTGTAGGGAATTTTACAAAAACCTTTCTCTTTTATCTCAAGGTATGAGAAGTTTTATTAACCTACCATATTTTTATAAATACATTTTTTACTTCACTCATTCCTTTAAAAATATTTTTATTAAAAACATACTTTTAAGTTGAATTTGACAACAGTACTCTTATCCTGAAAGACGATTAATATGCTCCATCAGCTTCTACATTTTAATATAAGATAAAGCCACATACTTCTCTACTTGCACTCGAACGAAACTGTAATTTTTATGCCACTTAAATACTCTTGAATAAGTGAATATAGATTTTCACTTTAATTTAGGTTCCACAGATCTGGGAACCCCAGAGTTTAATGTGAAGCTTGATTCTTTCTTTCAGAGCTTAACAGAAATAAGTCCTAGCATCAACTATGCACTTAAATATTTCCTTTGAAATCAAAGGGAAAAAGAAGGCAACGATGATTCAAGTTATTTTTTAAAATAATAAATAAAAGCCAACAGAGAACGAGACATTTGAAATGGAGAATAAACGGGAATTTAGAGATATGCACTGAAAGCCTGAAGCACCCTGTGTAACGGTGAGAGAATGTCCCCACGCCAGCACTCCTCTGCTCTTACCGTGAGCGTGGCCGTGTTCTCGTCATCCGACCACTGTATGGAGAAGAGGACAGAAACAAAACATTAAATGTGGATAGTGTACTGGGCTCCCAAACAGCAGTGCTCCGTCTAAAAACAATACATAAGCAGGAGACATCTATTCCTGAACACAAAGTATATGTCAAAGTCAGATTTTCGTGTAATTTCTCACTTTATTGAATGTATGCTAAGATCTGAATGTCAGAACCGCTTCAGAGATCATTTAAATCAGAATAGTCTACAGAACAGATTATTTTATTTTGAACCAACCTGTATTTCTTCTGCCTCATCATCACTGTCTGGCTGAGAACGTGCTGGTGGATCTTCCCTACGAGAACATAAAGCAAAAATTAAGCAAGAAAAAGGCTTTGGTACCATGTAGTCATAATTTCAGGTGTACTGAAAACATATCTCTATAAAAGATAGAAAGATAAAGACAGCCTTAGAATTGGAGGATAATGTTTAAAAAGTTCACTTTTTCAGACAGAAATGAATAAAAACTAACATGAAATTAGTGAGAGTACACTTCCAATAAGAGATGGCAGAATAAAAACATTCTGCCCTGTTCTCAGAAATCACTAGAAACAGGGAAAGAAAAACTCACAACTCCACCTCTGATGACACTAAGAATCATCTACAATTCTGAATCCCGATATATAAGAAAGTGCTGCCAAAGACAAGGAAGACCAAACGAGACGGAGGAAGCCGCCAAAAGGAGCCGTCTGAGGAGCTGTGCTTCACAGCTGAGGGAAGACCCCGAGGGGCAAAGCCGAGGATCCTGGGTTTATACAGTGAAAACAGAGCACGGGGGCCGGTGTCAGGGATCACCTGGATCTGGACTGGCACCACAGACAGGCGTGGGGAGAGAGAGAGAAATACTCAGACACACTATCTGTGAGAAAGCCAGGGAATGAAGCAGGTGTTGAAAAGGGCCATCTAGCAGCCAGTCTTCATTGTCTGGGGGGAAGCAAAGGCTGAAAGAACTCAGAGGAAATAACACTGCCCTGACCCCTCCTCAACACTCAACTACAAATAACTGGCCCACGAAGAACTCACTCACATCACTGAAAACAGAATAATCAGAATAAGAACCAGCACAGGATCTATACCAAGAAACTACAAGGAAAAGGGAAAGGGAGGCTTCTGGTTGACCATGGGCATTTATCTATTCCTGTGTTCCCTCTAAACTAAAATGATAGGAAAGACCCCAAGGAAAGGGAGACCAAAGAGGAGACAACTGAGGAAAAGACACAGAAACAAAAAGTCGGAAAACAGAGAGCCAATGAGGGGGATAACCCAGTGAGCAACAGGCAGAACCTGGAGCTATCATGGATGGTGGGACCGAAGCTCTGGGCTACGAACAGGGTGGCTTGCGCGAAGTCCGTAAATGGGGCAGTAAGACAGACCCAGTCTTCCTCATCTTCCACATCCTAGCAACTAATCCTCCTCCATGAACTAAATAGGCCAAGGGCTCAGGTCCATAACCCCAGAGGAATATGGGGGTGAAACGACAGAATATGACAAGGAGCCACGTGAAAGTCACACTAACAGTGAGACCCCTGGTCCCTTCCTCCAATCCTGCTCCCAGAATGCAGACAAATTAGAGGATTCTTCTCTGTAGAAATTGAACAACGCCAGACCGAAGGCCTACAGATAACTGTCATCTGGGAATCCTCTATCAATACCTGCTGATTGCTGGCACTCTTAGTCAACAAGCCCCAGCCAGGTACACAAAGTTTACGTGTGGGCACGCATGCACGCGTGCATGTGTGTGTCCCTCACTCTTTACTATGAATAAAGGCCTAGAATTGTTAGAAAACTAAACAAAGGCTCCAAGATGAAAAAAAGAGATTTTAAAAAGGAGAGAAAAAAGGTACACGGAAGAAATAAAAACAAAGGAACCAGATGAAAAAAATTTTTTTTTGCTGAGATTCGCCTGAGCTAACATCTGTGCCAATCTTCCTCTTTTTTTTAAATTTCTGATTCAGGAGGATTAGCCCTGAGCTAACATCTGTGCCAATCTTCTTCTATTTTGTATGTGGGACGCCTCCACAGCATGGCTGATGAGTAGAGTAGGTCTGCGCCAGGGATCCGAACTCACGAACCTGGGCCACAGAAGCGGAGCGCGCAGAACTTGAACCACTCGGCCACAGGGCCGGCCCCCAAAAATATTTTTTTAAATCATTAATATCCTCAAAGATAAAAGAAGATATGCATCCATGAGAGAAGAACAGGAGGCTATAAGAAAGGAAGAGAGGACAAGACTGAACTTGTAGAAACCGAAAAGATGATAGCTGAAATTTAAAATTTCCCAGAAAGTAGAACTAAAAAGACAAAGAGATACACAATAGAGAAGAAATGATAAAATTCAGAGAATTAATCCAGTAGATCCAACATTTCAATAGGAGTTCCAGAAAGAGAAGCAAGAAAATAAGAGGAAATTATCAAAGATATAATATTTTTAAATGTCCCAAAACTGAAAAATACGTCTCTAGACTGAAAGGGCCCACCAAGTACATATCATAACGAATGGGAAAAAAACTTAGACGATGTGCAAAGATGGCCACAATAACTCTTCTCATCTCATTTGAATGCCCCTTGGCAGGGAGACTTTGCCACTCTTCCCATCAAGAAACGGCATTTATTTCCCCATCCCTTTTAGACTGGCTTCACAACTCACTGTGACCAACAAGATGTAGCACAAGTGACAACATGTGATCCTGAGCCTAAGTGTCAAGTCTCTACAGCTTCCGCTCTCACGTTTTTGGAACACTGCCACCACTATTTAAAGAAGCTAAGGTTAGTCTTTCTAAGCATGAGAGGCCACATGGAAAGAGAGGCCCAGCTGACAGTGGGCATCAACTGCCAGACATGTGAGTGAGGCCATCTTAAAACCATCCAGTTCAGTAGAGCCACCAAATGACTACAGCCATGTCAGTAACCTTGGCAAGACCAACAGAAGACTCGTCCAGTGTCAAGAATTACAGAGGCTCTGAGATTTGACCCTACTTGCTTGCTAACAAGTTAGCCTGCCAGTTTCATGGACTCTAGCAGAAGACATAAGATTCTTAGGTCAGAACAAAGGACTCTATTACTCTCAGCACAGCATGAAGCATGAGCCTCTTCCTTGCATCAGTTCCCTCTGGTTCAAGTCCCATGGGAGGTCAAGGAGTGGCCCAGGTTAGCATTACAAGTGAGGAACCCCGAACTTAGGGAAGCTCATCTTTTATAATGGGCTGCAGGTAAAACTGCTCAATCTTTGACCCAAGGGGAGACACTGTCTTTTATTTGTATGAGACAGTAAACAAACCTGCTCTCTGCTAAGGAGGGAGACACTACCTCTATCTTCCAAGGCTGTCTGCTATATAAACATCCTTGAAAAGATAATCAAGAACAAAAGCGGTCAGTGCCTCTGCCTGCAAGATGTGCAGTAATGTAAGAGACCCAAGGAGAACTGTCTCTCAACATACACCTGAGCAATCATGGACAAATAAAATGGTTATTGTTTTAAGTCACTAAGTTTGGGCAATACAGATGATTATCATGAAATATAAAAACATGAAAGAAGAAACCCCAAGAACATTCATAAAGCAAACCAGGTCACAATAAAGGAACAGAAATCAGACTGACATAGGACTTTGTAGCATTCTAGAAGACAGTGGGCCATGCCTTCAAAATCACGAGGGCAATTTTCTGCCTAGAATCCCTTACTAAGCCAAACTCACCCCCGAAAAAATCAAGTATAAGAGCAGAATAAAAACTTTTTCCAGGTTATGAAAGGACTCAAATGTTTTTCCTCTTATGCATTCTAGAGCATGTACTTCAATAAAACAAGGCAGTAAATCAAAAGAACCAAAAACATGGTATTTAAGGAACAGAAAATCCAACACAGATGAGTAAAGAAAAGTCCCAAGCTGACGACTGTACGCCAGACCTGAAGAGCTGCCGGCTCAGACTGGAACAGGAAGATGGAGGGTTGCCAAAGCGGGGTCTCTAGGAAAGGAAAAACGGCAATATCTAGCTTTAAAAATGGCTTAAACAACGAGGCAGACATATTATTTCACATTATAAGAATCCCTAAGGCATGGCACTTATTGGAAGGTAGAGTACTTCAGTGATGCTAGGACTCAAAATGAGCTTCTCCGTGAATTTCTTGGTTTTCCTCTCCAGAGTCCAAGTTCGCTATAGTAGTTTCAAGCATCAAGTCCTCACACTGCCATATCCAGAGACCAGAATAAATGAGATCCTGTCTCATGTCCCTTTTTAAGAGCAGCGCAGACTTTCCCCGGAGCCCTGTAGCCCCTCTTGGTTACGGCTGGGCTCCTCACTGCAAGGGAGATGGCATAACCACAATGGGTTGGACTAGTCTGTCATCACCATTGCGGCTGGGGAGAAGTCCATAAGGCACAGGGGTAAATATTACTTTTATGATTAAAAAAGAAGGGGGGGCATCTTTTACAAATGACAGAATTTCTAAGTATTCGTGCTGCTACCCCCCACCACTGTTTCAGAATTTATCTCACCAAACAAAAGCAAGCCATACACATTCCTATAGTCTATGAAAAGGAAAGATGCCAAATTGATATATCTCAACATTTACTAATAACCAGTAGTAGTTCACCACTGGCCTACTCACAATGAAAAGAATATTCAATGAGTCTAGTTCATTAACTCCACGGTATTTATTTGTAACTATAACACTATATCCCTTGATGAAGGGATACATTTCATACAAAGGAGCTAAAACGTTCACATATTAATAGATGCAGTTACAGTATTCTATAAATAGTATTTTAAATACACACTCATTCAACTAACTGTTACTATCTGAACTCAGGGAGGCAAAAAGATTAGGATAGCAAGGCATATACTGAGAGAGACACACACCCAAACCTACACACAATACGGAGACACTGAGCTTAAAAAGACATGTTTGAAGAAAGCTACTCAGCAATAAAACGTAACAATATTGCTGAATCTCAAAAGCATCATGTTGAGTTAAAGAAGCCAGACACAACAGAATACATACTGTATGATCCCACTTACATGAAGTTCCAGAACTAACAAAACTAAGCTATGGAGACAGAAATCAGATCAGTGTTTGCCTGGGTTTGGGGAGGGGGAGCTAGGAAGGGTCAACCAAAAAGGGACCTGAGGGACTTTTCTGGGGAATGGAAATGTTCAGTATTTTCAATGGAGTGGTGGTGAAATGGGTGTACATATTCATCAAAATTCCTCAGATTGTACACTTAAGATCTGTGCATTTTATTGTTAACATACCTCATTTAAATCATACCTATAATTTTCACATTTTTACCGATAAAAATAATACAATCTAAAATTACTACCCTTTTCAAATCGAAGGCTCAATAAACATTGCTTTTCTCAACCCGAGCAAATCACATTTTCATTCATCTAGCTGTTCCACCAGAAATGAGAGAGTAATTCTTGCCACTTCCTTCTGCATCACCGAGTTCTGAAGGAGCAAGCGCCAAGACATCTCACATCCATTCACTGCTCCCCCTCCAGTGGCACCATCTTAGTTCAAGCCACTGTCAGTTCTCACTTGGTCCAATGCAATATCCTCCAACTGGTCTTCAACTTCCCCACAGTAACCAGTCATTGTCCAAAAACTGAAACTGCTCAAGTTACTCTCTTGCTCAGAGCCCTTCAATACTTCCTGCTGACCTCAGAATAAATTCTAGGATCTTTCACATGACTCCTATACGGCCCCCTAACCTTAACCCTAACCACCTCCCCCATGTCACCAACTGAATCTCCTACCACTTGGCCCTTGCATGCTCCAGCCACATGACCTTTTCTGCATGTCAAGATCTTCCATGCCTCAGAGCCCTCCTTAATGCTGTTCCCTCAGCCTGGAAGATTCTAACCTCCACCCTTCAACTGACTACTTTCCACCTCAACTTCAGATCTCAGAGGCTCCTAAGTTACTTCTTCAGGGTACTCCTGGACCCTCCCTGCGATCCTCAGCTCCACCCCCGCCCCCAGTAATTCCATATGTCAGTGATATATATCAGTGATAGCACTGATCACAATTTTCACTTAAATATTTCCTAGTGTGTTTGTTTAACGCTCGGACTGAGATGAATGATGACGATGAGAGCAGTTAGTATTTCTTAAGAGCACACAGTATACTAGGCATTGGGCTAAACATTTTACACAGTATCTTTTTATCCCCGCAACAACCCTATGCCGTAAGTCCTATGGTATCAGTCACCCCATTCACAGACAAGGAAACTGAGGCCGAGAGAGCTAGAAATTAGCAAAGATGTGATTTGACCCTAGGAATGTGACTGGGAGACCAGCACTATGCTATATCAACTCCCACAAAATATGAAGCTGAACTGTCAACTCCAAAAGGGCAGGGTCCCTAGCTGGCTTGTGCATTCCCGCAGAGCAGAGGGAAGTACTGGGTGCTGGACGGCACTGTTTAACCATATTTAACGGTGCTTGCCCCTGCCAGATGCTCACGCAAACATCCAGCCAATGAGAAACAACATAGGAGCTCTTCAATATGCTTCTACTACTGAAATCTACCCAGAACTTTCTAATGTTAGGAGTCATTTTCTTTATAGTCCCATTTATATGTTTATTATATATTCTATTTTTGAGAATACTAAAATTATGTCTGTAAATATCCCAAAGGTGAGACTTCCCTAACTATTCTGTTTCCTTATCCTGCGATTATTCCAAGTTAATGAGGCTCTGAATTAACAATTTTCAGGTTATTGGGGGGCTGAGAATAACCCAAACAGAAATATAACACAGAAAGCTACACAAAAGATCCTGAGCTAACATACATTGCTGAGGAAGATTGGCCCTGAGCTAACATCTGTACCCATCCTCCTCTATTTTACAGCATGGCTTGATAACCGGTGCATAGGTCCGTGCCGGGGATCCGAACCTGCAAACTGTGGGCCACCAAAGCAGAGCACGTGAACTTAATCACTACGCCACCGGGCTAGCCCCCTAATTATATTTCTAAGTTCATTCATCTAACAAATGTTTATTGAGCACCTCTTATGTATCACGCACTGTTCAAAGAGCTGGCACAAAATTGTCCAAGTCCCTGTTTTCATGAAGCCTGCATTCTAATAGAGCAATTAAGGGAATTATGTCAGATGGGAGTAAGTGTTATGCAGAAAAATAAAGTGAGGTAAGGGGTTAAAGAGTGATGTACCAAAATGTGGTGAATACACATAGTGAAATATTATTCAGTCTTAAAAAGGAAGGAAATGTTGACACAGGCTACAACATGGACGAACCTTGAGGACACTATGCTAAGTGAAATAAGCCAGTCACAACTAGACAAATACTGTATGATTCCATTTATGTGAGGTATTTAGAGGAGTCAAATTCATAGGCACAGAAAGTAGAATGGTGGTTGCCAGGGGCTGGAGGAGTGGAGTGGGGAGTTAGTGTTTAATGGGGATAGAGTTTCAGTTTTACAAAATGAAAAGAGTTCTGGAGATGGATGGTGGTAACGGTTGCACAACAATGTGAATGTGCTTAATACCACTGAACCGTACAGTTAATAGTTAAGATGGTAAATTTATGTTACGTGTACCTTACCAAAACAAAAAAAAAATTGTTGTTAACAATTCTAAGAGGAAATTATTTCCAACCTAGAATTTTATAAAAAAGAGTGCTGTAGCAGCAAAGGTTACTACTATTAGGCTATTTTAGAAAGGAAGGTGAGGGATGAACACTTAGATAACATGACTTCTGAGCAGAGACCTGAAGAAAAAATAGGAACTTCATTAAATTCTATGGTTCTTCAACCTTTTCAAGTTTGCACTAAAAAGACTGATGCATGATAACTTCTTCCTTTTACAAACAGAGGAACCACACGAACAGAGAAAGTGGAGGTGGGGCCATGGTGGGTTAACTGTGGGGAATAAAATGTTAAGGAATTAAATGATACACCCTAGGAAAGCTTTCTGTTTGCATTGGACAATGAATTACTCATCTTAAAAACTGAAGGATCTCAAAGGGTCATAACATGCCCGCTTCCCTCTCCCCCACAGCCCCTCCCCATCTCCAGAAGGAATAGTTACTATCATATCCATTTTCTAAAGGCAGAGAGGATGGGCCGGCCCCATGGCCTAGCGGTTAAGTGCTCGCACTCCGATGCTGGCGGCCCGGGTTTGGATCCCGGGCGTGCACTGACGCATCGCTTCTCCGGCCATGCTGGGGCCGTGTCCCACATACAGCAACTGGAAAGATGTGCAACTATGACATGCAACTATCTAGTGGGGCTTTGGGGGAAAAATAAATAAATAAATAATTATAAAAATAAATAAATAAATAAATAAAGGCAGAGAGGAAAGGAACTGCTCAATTTCACAACTAGTAATTACTAGAGGAGAAAGTAGTCAATTTCAAAAATCTTATTAGCTGAGCATTGACAAAGAATAGGAGACAAAGACCAGCACATAATTTTAGCTAGGAAAAAAAAAGGGAGAGCACGGTGCCAAAGCTCATGTATTTATTCCACATGGCAACTGTTGAGATTTAATCAGTACAACATTTCTTTATGATAAAATTTAAAAAACTTTTTTCTGATATACTTTACCTTCCTGAAACCACCAGAGTTCCATCATCGAGCAAATAGTCCTTCACATTCTGAGGAAGTGGAAGAATGACACTAGAAAAAAAAAGAACACAAAAAATGCACATACCAAAAAAGGCATCATTTTAAAAGACCAACCATAAGCAGAGAGAAAAAAATCCAAATTCAATTAATTTTTTAATTACTTGTTCCCTTTATTTTAATATGAAGTGGGAAATGTTAATGAGGTACATGTGATAGCAGCAGACTAAAAACTAGAATAATATGAATAAATACTGCAGTAAACTAAACTAGATTCATGAAATTACCACAATTGTCCTTGTGGTAAAACAAAACAAAACAAAAAAAAACCAGCCAAATCCAAAGAACCAGACTGAAATTACAGTATGAAAGCAACAAGCTCAAAAGAATTCTGAGTACAATGATTATGTGCCTTTAAGAAATTAGACACCAGCAGATATTTGCAGCAATAACAGGAAATGCAGCAAACGAATCCGATTAACAGCACCTGACAGAGGGCAGAAGCAGACTTACGATCTGGAAACAATTCTTTCCTTGGCAATGAGCACGTAAGGCAATATGTTTGGATCTGTTTTGGTGGCATTCTATTCAACTGATCACCAGAGCTATAAAGCTGCTTAACCGGGCATGCTTTAGTCTAATTTGTTTCAGATAATCATAATTAAAGGATAGGAAAGCCATACTTGAAGTCACCTAAAAAAACTACGGAACACTTTGTTTTTTACTCTGTAATAATAAATCATCAAAAAATCCTGCCACAGATAACTAAAAGTAATGCTATTATATTGATCTTGAGACATACATATATGTATACATATATTTTGGTGAGGATGATCTGCCCTGAGCTAACATCTGTCGCCAATCTTCTTCTTTTTGCTGAGCAAGGTTAGCCCTGAGCTAACATCTGTGCCTACCTTCCTCTACTTTGTATACGGGATGCCACCACAGCATGGCTTGATGAGAGGTGCCTAGGTCCGCACCCAGGATCCGAACCTGCGGACCTCGGGCCGCCAAAGCGGAGCATGTGAACTTAACCACTGCACCACCGGGCCTGCCCCAGAGGCATATATTCTTTAAAAAGTGAAAAAGATTATGGCCTGCTTTCAGAGAGTCAACAGAACATCATCGACTTATAATATGCTTCAATTATTAAGTCTTTTGGCACATTACAAATGGCTCTTGTACACAGAAAAGATTATTCGTGGGCTATTTTGGTTTTAAAAGTACTATCTGACTTATCAAAGTTACAATTTCACATTTAAAAGCCTAGTTCTTCAGGCTTTTAAATTCAACTACCAAATCTTATTATTCTATTTGTAAATCTGCTATATTTTAACTAATTTCAAGTGAGGCTTTGAAACTTCAAGTTGCTTTAAAAATTTTAACTCTATTATAAAAATAATCTATTCAATTTTCTTTTTAAATATGTCAATTGTCTAATGACAAATAACCCATCCCAAATATTTAACTAAAACAGCAAATTAAACTGTAGTATAGTGAATCTAAGGTTCTTGCAAACATTTTAATACTCTAAACACTTGAAAAATTTTCTTATACATTTTAACACATCACAATTCTAAACCAATTACACAATTTAAATTGGAACCACAAGGCTAATCTGTTATACATATGCTAACTGCCCTCAAAATGGCAAACTCTTAAACATATTAAATACACTTAACAGAAAAAAGAGTAAAACTCTTAAGTCTGAATTATTTTATCACCTCTATATTTAATTCTAGCTCTTCCTGGGGTTCAAGATAACCCAACAGCATCATCCCCAGAGAACTGGAGATGACCCTTCCAAGGGAATTTGAAGTGTATCTTCTCAGGGGCCTGAGACTGAGAAATGTTGGAAGGGATGCCAGTTTCTAGACCTCGAGGGTGATTTTCCTGATCACAATGAGAACAGATAGAGCCCTCTTTTATGCCAGTAACGTGTCTAAGTCCCCAAATCGATGATTTCAAAGTCCGTGTCCCTTGTTTTTGAGCTACCTAACTCTCCAGTCTGATCTGAATCTGGACTTTCCCTCCAACTTGCATCATCCCCCGAGTGGACTCAAAACATCTGTTTACTGTTTGATTCGATTCTGAATTCTTTGCATATTCTTCCTATTTGGAGGGTCTACAACTCTTACAGATATTAGACAACATCAAGTTAGACTCTGCATGGTTCTTAAGAGTCCCTGAGTTCTCCAGTCACAGCTCTAAAGTCAGCCTGATGACGTTATCTTGCTTTACGTTATGTAAGTCAAGGAGGATACCAAGGTGATTCCATGAAAAACTCAAAGCCTATGATGGGGACAAGATGCAAAAGGAAAAATAAGTCACAGTACAATATGATAAGTGCTGTACCAAGTGCAGATGTACCGAGTGCTACCAAAATTCAGGGGAAAACAGAAACACGCCTGAAAGACCGAGGCCATAAACAAGTCATTGCCAGAGAAACTTTACACAAAGCTCATGAGGCTGTCAGAGAAGAGCTTAAATCGGTCACTGATATCCACTACGCAGGTGAGAATCCAGTTGTAAAAGAATTAAATGACAAAGTATCTATCCCGTCAAATGGATAGAATTCTATACACACAGACAAGTTATTCTAATGGAATTTTAGAGGTAGAAGGGGACTTTAAGAGATTATTTAATATAACTTCCATGTCTGACGAAAGAAACAGATTAGAAAGATAAAGTGAATGGCCCAAAACATCTAGCTAATTATTCTTAAACCTGAGTCAAAGTTCTAGAACTTGCCAGAAAATGACCTTGTATTCTTACCTGCATAATCATCTCTGAACCATGATTAATACATACCAGATAATAATGCTGAGTCAATAACCAGAATATGGTCTCTCAGCACTAAAGCTGACAATGACAATGACAAAGCTAACACAACTCCACTGGGTTGGCCTGGGTGGTGGAGGGATAGCCTCCCATATGTTAGGTTTCAGTGGTATCACTGCAGAACTAAACAGACCGAAGAAATACCTTAAAAAAGGTATAGTTTCAGGCAACACAGCTTAGCTGTGGCCTGTTTAGAAAATCCCACCTCTTGGTTTATTTTTCATTCTCAGCTTCATATGAATGGTACACATTTTAAGTGAAAATTTATTTTGCTTCAATGGAGCTTTGATTAAATCCAAAATTTAACCACAAGCAGCATTTCTGTGTGTTTACTATCTGCCAGAAACAGTGGCAAGCACTTTACATGCTTTATCTCATTTAATTCCCAGGACAATCCTATTATTTTCTCAATTTTCCAGATGGGGCTTAGAGAGATTAAACAATTTGCTCAAGATGCTGGTGGGACCAAAATTCAAAGCCACACAGATGGCCCTCCTCCAGAGTCCAATTCTTCACCATTATGCTTTATGTACCTGCACACAAAGCAAATGCCAGTTTTAAGTGAACTCAGGGTGAAAATGTCTGATGGGTTCACAAATATACCTTCTGTCACATCAACACAAAATAATTAACTCTAGCATCACCTCAGACTCAAACCCTGTTTCAATTATGCAAAGTAATAGAGGATTGAAATATCATACAGGATGAAAACTCCGATGTTAGGAGGCAACATCCACTGCTGCTGTTGAAGCTCTTCCTTTCCTTTTGGTGTGACTTCAACCATCTTCAAATGCAAAGATTATCTTCCCTTGAGCTGCTCAAACCTCCATTACACCACAGATAACTGGAACCAGATTCTATGTATGAATAACAGGATGGAAAAGAATTGTCTAATCTCCTTACACTCTTCCAACCCCTCAGGATTTCAAAAGAGTTTCCCTCTCTGCAGTCACACTCCCTGCACCAAGAGGACAGACTGAAAAGGAAGGGACAGTGATATCTAAATAAGCGGCAATCTAGGCCTAAAAGGGGAGCGGGCAAAATACAGAAAATCCCATCCATGGATACACAGTACTTTGATCTATGCCTCTTATGAAAGCCTACTCTTGCATCATGCTCCAGATGTTATGACTGCTTTTGAACATCTGGGGATATTCTCCTAGCTAGCCTATGTTACCTTGAATGACCAGGTGAAGGATGAAACAGTTAATCCTCTGCTTGCCCTGCAAACGGGAGATGGATTCCTTGCTGTAGGCCAGAGCCCTAGAAAACAAACACTGTTCCACTCCTTTTCCATATGGCTTCCTCTCACAGTACATTACCATCCCTCCCAATACATCACTATACTTTACTAATGTTTCCCATATACACTAGCATATTGAAGCTTCACAATAGAATGCGAGGTGGGGTCTGTATCATCGTTCTCATTTTACAGTGACTGTAAGCAATTAAGTCCCCGGGGCGGGTTAATCAGTGGCAAAGCCCAGACTACCCTGCTCTGATCACCTCCCCTCTCCGGCCATCCCAAAAGCAGTGATGGCGAGCTCCCAAGCCTGCCCTGCTTAATCCACCACTCAGCCCGCCTCTGACCTTCACTACCCCACGACCTGCCCTTCCACCTCCCCCAGCACACTCCTGACACGCTACAGGACGCAGAGCAGATACGGATCGCCTTCATCGATCTCCCCTCCCGACATACCAGCGGGAAAGCGAATTCCCGGCGCTGGCGCTCCCATCCAGCCCTTCTAAGGCCTGCATTTTTCTGATGGTGCTGGGATTCGCCCCAAATGTCGCAGTTCCCTTTTGCCTCTCGCCCCGGCGTAACCCCTCCCGCCTTACCTCTTGATGGTGAGGCTTCGGAACAGCGGGTACCACGCGGAGAACTGACAGTGCAGCACATGCTCCTTCTTCATCCTCCAGCTGCCGCCGCCGCCGCCGCCTCTCCCTCTCCTGCCAGCACCCTCCCGGAACCCTGGGCTCCTGTCCCGGAAGTGCCCGCCGAGCTATTTTGGCTCCAGGACTCTTCCGGTCCAGAAAGCAAGGAGGAAGTAGCAGAAGAGGGAGCGGAGAAGGAGAATGGCGGGGCGTACTTTTAGGGTACACTCCTACACGCACAGACACACACAAAGACTTCTGGTGCCGGAAGAGGGATTCCGGAAGTCTCGAGAAGGGGATTTTTAAGAACCGCACGGCTCCGCTTTCTCCCCGAGACGCACACCGCCCCGGAAGGTAATCGTCTAAGGCCAGGTCACCCACGGGGGTTCTACGGGTGCCGGGAGGGGACCAGCCCACATCCTCTCATCAGCGCGAGGCGCGGCTGTGCCTCGAGCAGGAGCCCCGGCATCTCTTGAGCCTTCTGCCCCGGACTCGCGCTTCGTCCTTTCGTCCCCCTTCCGAAAGGAGTACCCTTCCCTTCACCCCGCACCTGGCAGCAGGTAACTGGGCGCGGGCCAATCACGTGCAGGGGCTTTGGGAAAGAGGGAGGGAGCACATCTGGAGCGTGCGGGCAGCCGCGCGCGCGTCTCCCCGGCTGCGGGCTGGGCTCGCGTCCCGGGAAGCGAGGGGCGACGCTGCGGAGGCGCGGAGGGGAGGACCAGTTCAGAGGACAAGCCAGGAACTGGGGTGGAAGAGCCTGGGCTGCTCGGAGTAGAGAAAGCAGGAAACGCCACGGGTCAGTGTCCGAAGAGTGCAGTGGTGGAGGCATCTGCCAAGGGGGGGATGGCCCCTCTTCGCTCGTGGGGGAAGGTTATGGAAGATAGGGAAAGAATCCGGTCTGTACGATCCCAGGGAGTTCCACTTTGGAGGTAGAGAGGAACTTGGGAGAACAGGGGAAAGAGGAGAGGTGTCTCCTTTGAGCGTCAAGCTCATTTATTCCAGCTCCGCACAAGTAGCAGCCTGGAAAACCCAGCCAGATTTTTTCACTGTCCACGGCTTGCTGGAACCATCAGACTAGAAGAATTCTAGTCGAACTTGTGCTACCATTCTTTTCCCCTCCTTTTCTTCCCTCCCGCATCACCCCAGCATCTATTTTCCCTACTCTTTCCGTAATGACTATCAGATGACGACCAGAAAATAGAATATTAAGAAAGTTTACTTTCGTTTGCTTAAAAGATTGAGAGAGAAATGACTAGCGGCGGAGAAACGCCCTTTAAACTTGGCCTTGCTTCTTACAATTACATGCCTTGGGCTTGTCCCCGGCACCTATCCTAAGTGCGCCCGTTTTAGATATCTCCTTAAAATTGCACGCTCTCACCGGTGCATCTGAGCATTTTTAAATTAGGGGTAAGAACCCCACTGACTACAGGCCTTTTTAGAAAGGTATTCATTAGGTTAGTTACAGGATCCTCTGTTTGGCGTTAGAAACTCTTCCCCCCAGGAATATGCATTGTTTCCTGTTTCGTTTTGTTTTTCTCAAAAATGTTACTGGCTAAATGGTTTAGTTAGCATTGCTTTTAAAGATACATTTTCAAAGCAGACGTAAATAGATTGTAATGTTGCAATGTATGTTGGGGGGGCGGCGGTAGTGGTTCCTAAGTACTTCTGAGATCCAAGATTACGTAATCCTTTTTGTTTTGAGAGGAAAAAGCAGTAATATTCCACGAATGCCGGGAGAATCGTGCCAGACTGACAGATCCAAGAGAGCCCTAAGGCGGATGGAGCGGTCACTAAAATATTTGTTTGGTTTGACCTAGAAATAAACATGTTCTGGCGGAAGGAAATGTTAGCAGTGATAGAGGTGAATTTGTTAGGTATTTTCTGTTGAAAATAGGAATTAATAGATGTATAGAAGAAAGTCGAAACCGGGAACATAGTCATCCTGGGAAGAGTAATACATTAACAACCCAGGAAACTCGAGTGGAGAGGTTGAGGCGACTGCAAAGCTTTAATACAGAATTGGAGCTGTTTGTGGAGAAGCAGCTGAGTTTGTAAACTTAAATATAGACGCCACAGGGAAGGAATTTGACACAGATGTCTTTTATTCAGGCTATATACTTTAGAAGTGTGTGTAGTGACTTTTTAGTATTACTCACAGTTGGTTTTGAGTAACTTGTTACACATTTAGCCAGCATCAGGTATATCATTACAAACATGCTCCAGTATTTTGAATGAATACAGCTAAATTCACTTTCACTATTTTTTAGCCACCATGTTTATATTCATCAAGTTTCTTCAATAAAACCTTTACAACAGTGGAAATAGTTGCTTTTTCTTGTGCATGCCAAAAAATATCAGTAACCAAGTGATTGTAGGGGAGAAGTTTATTGTGCAATTCCAAATTAAAGAGTGAAAAAAATTCCTTCTCTGAATCCATAACATAACTAATCCTTCTAGATTAATATTTCCAATTACCTGCTAGTTTTCTCCACTTGGATATCTTGCCAGCATCTCAGACTCAGTGTGTCCAAGTTTGAACACTGCACCACCCTTTCTCCTTCTGATGTGCCAAGGTCCTTTAAGATCATCTCCTTCTTGGAATTCGCTTTGGAAACCCTTTCCCCAGAGGCTGTTTTAGGAAAAGTAGTAAAGTGTCATCTGCAAGGAATTAAATCTGTTTCCTTGCCACTGCCACTACCCTAGTCCAAACCCATGTTATCTCTTGCCTGGGCTATTACAAGAGGTTCTTTACTGGTCTCATTACTCTGCTGCTGTAACCTATTAACCTTCCCGAGGATAATTACAGTCAGTTTGCTCTTGCTCAACCAAAACTAAATGTAATGATTATAAATCACCAAGTAGCATAATTTCAGTAAAATGTCGGTTCCCTCCCTGCCCACCCAACCCCCACACCTGCCAGAAACGAAAAGAACTTTCAGTGGCTTTCCATCATTAACAAATTGAGTACAGGAAGTCTTCATTATCTGAGGCTAATTGTTGTCAGCCAAGAAAAGCTCACCTAAAATGAATCCGTTTGATGTGATACCAAAATTTTACTGTAAATGGTAAAAAGGAGTGATCAAAATACTATCTTTAAAAAGACTAAATTTTTTAAAGTTTTATGATTATAACCAAGATCATGAAATATAGCTATACTAATTGATTCATTATAAATCAAGTGGCTTTTCTGTGTAATTATTCTGAAAGAATATAGAGTGGCATCTTAGATGTGCCTAAGCATTTGGTGCTTGACTTTAACAACACAATCATGTCATTTTTGCAAAAATTGATCCTTTCCCACTTAATTTCTTTCAAAGTGCCATGTTGATTTCTCTGTCCGATTATTAAACTGTTCCAGGTGCATGACCTTCATTTGTCAATCAGTGGCTTTGCTTGTGATTTGAGCTCCTACATCTTTTGTGTGGTTGAGTATAGATGGTGTTTACAGTACTCAGCTTTTATCTGGGAGAGACGAGCCAACGTACAATTTCTTGTGATTTTTGCTTCCTTTACAACCTCAGCAAACTGCAGGATTCTGGTATGGTAATAATTGGGTAATAAGGAGCCTGAGCATAAACTCCACAGCCTCGCTTTTGAGATTCTCAGGTTAACTTCTTGACTCTTAATTCCATTTAACTTTTTTTTTTTTTTTTTTTGGTGAGGGAGATCAGTCCTGAGCTGACATCCGTGCTAATCCTCCTCTTTTTGCTGAGGAAGACCGGCTCAGAGCTAACATCTATTGCCAATCCTACTCCTTTTTTTCTTCCCCAAAGCCCCAGTAGATAGTTGTATGTCATAGTTGCACATCCTTCTAGTTGCTGTATGTGGGACGCGGCCTCAGCATGGCTGGAGAAGCGGTGCGTCGGTGCGCGCCCGGGATCCGAACCCGGGCCGCCAATAGCGGAGTGCGCGCACTTAACTGCTAAGCCACGGGGCAGGCCAACTCCCATTTAACTTTAATCCAGCTGTTGTTACTAATGCTGAAATACCCAAGTTTGTGAAAAAGTAATGGCTTATCTTCCTCCCTTCAGCGGAGAAGTGTCAACCCCAGAGGAGCTTACTTAGCAACAAGAGTTTGAGGCATGCCAGTTAGAGTCATCGGGTGTTTTGTTTGCCTGCAAATTGGGAGAAAGGGGACAGGCATCCAGCTGAATCTGTGTAAGTCCTTGGAAATGTGTCTGCACGTGTGAGCATCATCCATTGTCGATGGTGTTGGTTTTGGGAGTTTTTTGGAGGAGGTGGGGAAGGAAGGGTTGAGAACACAGGGCTTGCCAAACTCCTGTAATTTCTCAACCTTCCCCAAGTTAGTGTCTCTGCTTTTGTTCATGTGATGCCTTTTACTTGGAATACCTTCCCTGCCTTCTTGGTCTCTAAATCATATCTTAATATCAAACTGTCTTTAAGTAGTAGCCACTTAAAAGTCTTTACTATTTTCCCCACCTCCCAAGTGGACGTGATTTGTCCCTCATTTAAAACACCCTGGTCTTGGACTGTCTCTATAGCAGGCATGTGCCCTTCTAGTGCTTTTCGTGACTGTAAGTCCCCAAGGGCAGGAGTAGTGGTCAGTTTGCACTGAGTATATAGTCAAACATTTGGACTGCCCGTGCTCACAAAGCTAGCTGGGGACTCCTGCCCGCCACGGTAGGTCAGGAATTCTAAGAATCTTGTGACATTTTCTCTCACTAGAGTTTTTGTGCCCTGGATAAATCATACATCTGACACGTCATAGACCCTTCAGTGTTCAAACTAAACTAAGTTAAAAGGGATTATGTGAATTAACACAGCAGAACACTCAACATTATGTACATAGGTATTTTTTTAAGTATAAATACACATTATCAGCAAAATGTAGATGATCTTAAATTCTAGCTAATGAAGTGGATAAAATTCAAATTAAACTTTTAAATCTCGAAATAGCCTTGAGTCAGCTGAGGAAAGCTCTACCACAGTAGTGGAGACAGGAGTGTGCAGCGTGGAGTGGAAACCTCATTTGTTTCTCTCTGCAGTGCCTTACTTGTAGTGATTGGCCCCCAAATGGCACCATTTAGCTTCTCTTTTTGGAAATGGTGCCAAAAATAATATTCTTTTTCCATTTCAGTAGTATTTTGTGTGTGTGTGTGTGAGGAAGATCAGCCCTGTGCTAACATCTGCCAATCCTCCTCTTTTTGCTGAGGAAGACTGGCCCTGAGCTAACATCTATGCCCATCTTCCTCCACTTTATATGGGATGCCGCCACAGCATGGCTTGCCAAGTGGCGTGTCGGTGTGCGCCTGGGATCCGAACCAGCGAACTCTGGGCCGCCGCAATGGAGCGCACGCACTTAACTGCTTGTGCCACCGGGCCGGCCCCCTCAGTAGTACTTTTGAGGTGCTTTATAATCCTGAAGGGTTGGGGAATCCCTCTTCAGTCACCGTTTTTGTTATTTACACTGTCACTAGATTGCTATAGAATACTGTGTCCCCGGGTGCCGATTGCATACCTGTAATTACCCTAGAGAGGCCCAGCCCTGTGGGCCACTTTTTCTTCTTTTTTTGTAATTTATGTTTTCCTAGCTCG